ATGAAACATAGAAAATTTTATAAATTATTTAATGGTTTCAGTAATGTATAAATTGTTTAGAAATGTTAAAGTGAGTGCTATTTTCTGAAACTGTTGCTTTGTATACAAATATATAACCACATCATTAGCTTTCTTTCACTTCCAGTCATCATTTAGTGAAGAATAATCATGTGAGAGAAAATATTTGTTATTTTTTAAAATTCAGATTGATGTGTCTGGGTTCCAACTTTCTTCTCAAACGCCATTCAGGACAGCATTTGAAACTATAATGTTACTAGCAAAGGTAAAATTACTGTCCCTTTTATGTTCTAACATAAAATTATATATAGTTTTATTTTGAAATATTTATTTATATAACAAGTCTCTTAAAATGATGTTGAGTTTCAGTTATATCATATATCTGGAAATGTCTCCTTGGTATTTCTAGCAACAGCTGATAGTAAAGATGTTGGGCTGATTTGTCCCTGGAATGGTCTGTTTACCTCAAAGCAGTTTAACATGTTTTATTTCGATATACAGTATATATTGCTTTCTATTGACAGTTTCAGATTTGGCAACAATTGTGCAGTCAGGCTTCAAAAGTAGGCACCAAAGTATTTTGAATGAACAAATTCTCACAAGACACTTTGGCTTTTTTTTAAAAAAAAAAATTTAGTGTATTATTTGGGAGTGCCTTTCACTGCCATTCCCTGATACAAAACCAAGGTTTTGTAATCACTGAGTTAACTGGAATTATATACCTGCCTTAACATTATACTGTACTGTATTTATATTTTGTACTGTTAAGTAATACTGCATTATTTGATAGTCAAATACTTTCAAAAGAAGTGTTTTACATGTCCAAATTATATTTGAAGGAGCTAGAACTGTATAAAGAAGAACTTCGAACTAAATCTGCATTGCTTGCTGTGAATAAAATGGATTTGCCTAATGCTAAAGAAAAATTGCACAAGTTAATGGAACAACTGCAGAAACCTCAAAGTAAGATTCACTTTGACCAGTTCCTTTTAAGATAAAGGATAGTTGTATTTTTGGGGTATAAAGAATCAACAAATAATTCATAATTGTGGGAAGAATTAATTGCTCTTGCAAACCAAAAATTCATAGCAGGATTTCCAGTGCCTCAATAATAATTGTGGTCCAAGAAGATGAATGCCAAAAATATTTCTATCTGCATAATAATGAGCTGATGGGGCCATTGCTACCTGATGGAGATGTACATTTAATTATGTTTCCATGATTTCAGGTTCATCATGTTTTCTGTACAGTTGCCCGACAAATTATAGTATTTTAACTCCCATACTCTAGTTATCCTAACTGCAGTTCAAATTATCCTGTTGTGCCATCAAAAACAAATATATTTAAACAATCCTGCCACTGGCCTTCTTTTTATTCTCTTTGTCTTATAGTTGAAACATATTAAATAGAGAATAAAATGACCTTCCTACCTTAAAGTAGGAAATATTAGAGTATATTGAGAAGCATCACCGATCATTTTACCTTTGCATCTTCTTTTCCTCTGTTAGTATATTTTGTAGTGACATTGTACAATTTAATTATCTGTGACATATTTGCTTATTTTCAGATTATTTACACTTGCTTCCACAAAAGATGGTTCCTCAAGTCACTGTCACATTCAAGGAGATCATTCCCCTATCTGCATGTACTGGTGAAGGAACTGAACAACTTATTACATGTTTAAGAAAAGTAATAGATCAAGAAGCTGAAGAAAAGATTGAAAATTATCAGAGGGAGCAACTTCGTGCATTGCATCTCTCAGAAACATAGCACTATGTCCCAATTAAGCCAGTATATCAGTTTTTATAGGACTCTGCTTGGAACCGAATTTGTGCAAATTTGTGATTTGTTCTCTTTTTAAGCATAAATGTGTGTATTTTGTTCTTGTAAAATAGTAAAAACATATCCAATTTTAAATTATGCATCTCATGCAATTTGTAGAATACATTTTAAAACATGTAAATGTGTAATTTTATATGTTGATCCTGGGTTCAGATTTTCTTACAAAAGAGTTCAAGAAGAGTACAGTCATTTATTTTGAAGGAGCAGATCAGTTTATACTACAGACACCTTTCCTGAAATATTTTGGACAGGAATATTTAAATTACTAATAACCATTTATTGGCAATTGTAAGTAATCCTGCACTGGAACCTTTTTCAGCATGTTTGAGCTTATCATATTGGGCAAATCTAGCCAATTATGGTTTATTCAGCCAAACATAGCTTAATATGACATGGAGATTCAGCCAAAGAATGCCATTTAGTGGTTCACACATGTAACTACTTTTGCACTGCATACCTAGCAACGAATGTTACAGATAAAATCTAGTATTACATGATATGAAAATATTTGGGCCTCAGAATACAATGTTGGACCTATGAGGGAGTCCTAAGGGGGGCAGACTGTAAGAGACCTCTTTTTCTATAAGTGGAGGCCTTCCGTGGGTCCCTGTAGAAAGCTGATCCTCACTGTTCCAGGACCAATAGAAACAACTTTTCTAGATGACTCAAGGAAGGCTGTGAATCGGATAATTGACAGCCCCTCATTCCCCTGAATTGTCTCTAGAAATAGTGAACCAGTAATGGAGCTGTACACTTATTTTCCTATTAGTACTGTTGGAAGTGGGGAGTGGGAGGGGGGTGGGAGACCACATTGGAGAAACTGAGAAACCCTCTGGCTGACTTAACACATCCTGCTAAGCTGTAGTTTATTCTAACAATGGTTGATTAAGCTGTAATGGGTTCACATATCCCATCATGCCATAACCTATGGCTCATTAAACATAGTAGCTGGTTTCACCAAGACATCTAACCAGTAGAACTTACCTCTGAATAAACATCCATGAAGTTATGCATAAATGCACTGAATGCAGGGATGGGCAAAATGAGGCCCCAGGACACATGGACCTTGATTCCTTTTGGGCAGCCCTTGGTTTTCCTCTGATCATAGTTGCCGAAAATCAAGGGTGCCCATTGCACCATGTTCAGATTTGTCTGAGACTTTACCCTCCATAAATGTGACCTTTCCCCAGCTCTAATCTAAGGTTTGGCTCTGTGTCTTCCCCCTTTTTAAACAGGAGAGACTTGCTGCATTCCTGTTCCCAAATCAGCTATTGCTTCAAAGCTTGGCTATGTTGGTCCAGATTAGAGTTGTGGGATCTGACAGCTCAAGATCAATAATGAGTCCACCGATGGATTCTGGGAACTAAGCTGTCTTTTTTCCTAACGAAATGTTAATTAAAAACGCCTCTTCAAAAAGAAACTCTTAAATCGCTGCAAAGACACTAAAGACAAGGGGTGCTGCAATTCTGTGGCTGAGTTTTTTTACACGAGTTCTGAAATTAGACATCCATTTTTATTATTTTTAGGACAAAAATCCATACTCAGTAAGAATTCATATTGCTCTGCAAATGGCTTGTTAAAAAGAAAAATAACCCTAACAATTAAAAGTCTCGAAAGCGACGCCTCGTTTCATCCAAGCTGCTTCCTTTATGCAACTAACCCCGAGCAGCTCCGCGAAGGACAACCTCAGTTAGAGTCGGGAAGGTGTACCCTGCAAGAATAGCTAATGAAAGAGGATCTTGGGAATTGTAGTCTTTAGAAGTACGAGGAAACTAAGAGAACAGTAGAGAGAAACTACAGTCCCAGGAAGCTTTGGGCAGACCTGGAAAAGGCAGCCACTTCCTGAAAAACCGGGAGACCGAAGATGGATTCGGTGTTTGTAATGTGCATCGTGCGTGGGAAGCAGGTAAGGAGGGGGAAGATTTGCTCTATATCTATCTACCCATCTACCCATCTATCTATCTCTGTCTATGAAGATGCCCGATTTCATTATAATTAGGTTTCTTTCCTGCCGGTCCAGACCAGTAGGGCTGTGCCTTATTTAAAGGGATGGGTTGTCCATTCCTATCTATGAAACTCGATGTACCAGGATTGTTACGATTATATGTTACCCGCAGTGCAACTCCTTGCCTGTTTATTCAAGAGTAAGTCTCCCTGAGTGTCATGGGCTTATATGCCAGTTCGAAATGGGGTACCTGTGATCTTGGAGATGTTGCTGAAGAACAGGATCCAGCATTTCCAACCATCATGTCCAATGATGAGGGAGGAGGATGGGAACTGTAGTTCAGCGACATCTGGAGGGGATCCTGCTGCCCACTTAGTACAGCTTACACCTATAGTCCAAATATGCTAATATTTGGAATGAAACACTTTTTTAAAAAAAGTTTCTTTAAAATTAGGGACCATCCTATGAAAAAGTTTGGTGGGATAAATCAAAACAAGTATTTCTCCTACAGCTACTGCTTTGTAAGATTTGGTGCTACAAGTTGTGATGGGATCTGATTTAGATGGACTTAAATTGAAATATGATAAATTCATGAAGGGAAGCACCCATCTCTTTAAATAGTATTTACAAGTTCTCTGGTTGGCTGCTGTGAGATACAGGTGTTGGATCAAGTAGGCTCATAGAACTCTAATTATATTATTTGTTAATTGTATGTTTCAAATAGATATTTATAGGTTATCCTGAATCATAGTTTAATTTATCTGCTGTAGCTTGCTTGTGAGTTTGTTCCATCATTTTAGTCATCAACAGTAATGCAAGCAAAATAGAATGCTTTGTATTGTTTTTAGATTATTTGGGTTGATTTAGAATGTTTCAGTTATGACTTATTTCTCATTTTTCTTCATTACAGTAATTGGAACTGAAGCAGGTTAGATATAGGGTACAGGTAAGCATCTTGCCATATTGAAACATGTTTTCCAGGCTTTGTTAATTAGTCATATATAGAACTGATATGGTGGGGGCTTAATGAAGTATGCATGGTCTGTGTCATGTTTATTTTGGTTCCATACTCTGATTCAGCATATATAATGTTGAAAACATATTACTGCATATTCTTGTGCTCTTCGAATGATATTGAATACTTATAATTATGAACTAGGACTGTTGGGTCTTTCTCTGGCAGGAGACAAGTTTAAGGACAATCCTGGTATATGCATGAAGTTATAGAAAAACTTAATGAACACAATTCTTATTGTGTTAGAGATTCATGTTTCCATGTGTTAAAAAGAGTGGCGACCACATTTTACTATATTTGGGGGGTGGGTGTTGAATGGCATTATGGCCTGCCCTTGTTTACTTGGGATTGGATCCTCTGCATGGTGAGTGACTGGTGTTGGCCCAGTTGCTATAACATGGCTATAGCAGGAATTGATGACTGTCAGTTTCATCCAATTTAGCACTTGCAGGATAAATTGAAGAACTCAGCTTCTTAGCTCCATTCTGTTCCACTGATATATCAAAATGTGAGTGAAACCCTTGAGAGGAAAATGTCTTGAAGCTCTCTATTCCAAAATTCTATGTCACACAGTAACTGACCCGCTTATCTTGAATGCTGGCAATGACAGTGACAGTTCTCCTTCAGTGTAATATTTAAGTTAGCTCCAGTTTAAGGGCATAAGTCCAGTATAACTATGCATCTACTGTATGTAGAACAAAGATTGTAAACATATCTATTAGTAAAGTGAGAGGCATTTCAAAAATCAAGTTTACTGATGCCAACAGATTAATGAAAAGAAGAACCTAAGAAACAGGAATGTCTGAAGTTAGATATTTTTGCTCTGGTATTTTTTTTTTACAAGAGAATTGAAGTGTTTTACAGTTGCTACAGTTAACTAGATTTTTTACATTCATGCAGAACAAGGATTCCAAGATGAATTTGGGCATCATGCTAAGTTTCAGTGTTTCTGTATGTTTAACAGTCATGCTGATGGGAACACCAGAGTGGGAGCAAATGGGCTAAGAATGCCAATATTCAGCTTATTAATGATTAATTGAAATTCACTGGGATCCTGTTTTATAAATCTATGCAAACGTGGCCACTGACTCAAAACATAGCTATTTATATTTGCTTTAAAATCTCTTACTTTCTAGATACATTGGTCTACTTATATGAGTTCTTCTATTAATCTGAATTTAATTGCACCTCTAGGTAAGTTTCCATTCTCAGTCCTGTGAAAAGTGCTTATCTTGACTTACATTGGAATAGGTACATAACATGACTAAGTTTAGACCAATGCAAATAGGTAAATTAGTTTTAATTAACAAGTTAAGTAGCAAATTCTATACCAGTTTGTACCATAACTAAAATTACAGATAGAAAAGTATTTAGTAATCGGGTCTCTGGTGTGGAATTTTTTACTGTAAATATAGCTTTCTGTATTAAAATTACATGCCAATCCCTCTGCTATTAAATGTGTGGCTGAATGTAGACCAAGAAGCAAAACCTTTTAGATAATATGCTCATTTTCTAGACAGTCAATTTAGTTCAATTGGGCTTATTTCCAGGTAGTAAATAAGGGATTGCGGCTTTAAGAAACTGTTACAAATAGTTGTATTGACTGTTTGCATTAAATGCCACTTTTTGTGACCAAACTCACTGTATTACTACAGGTTGATGCACTAACAATATTGAATAGTTGACAGTTTCTGAGCAGGAGTTTTGAGACTCTGTACAAAGCTGTCAAATTGGCAGGGGGCAATTGATCTAATGGTCAGTATATATATCAGTGGTTCAAGTATGAATTCCTTAGGGGATTTGTCATTCCTTTCAAGATCAGCAGCATGCAGCATTTCTCCTTGGTTTTTCATCACACTGGATTGACCTCTGTGCGGTTAACTCGATGCGCTTTTCTGCCATCCCCAGGAACCCTTTTCACTGGCCGCAATGGGTTGCCGGGACGTTCACGCTGCGACAGTCCTAGCCTTCCTCTCTGGAACAGCCGCCTTATCGGGACTCGTTGCCGCTGCACTGCTTCCAAACTGGAGACAAATGCGACTCTACACCTTTAACAAAAACGAGAAGAATGTGACCGTTTACACTGGGCTGTGGATTAAGTGTGTTCGTTCTGATGGGAGCAAAGACTGTGTCATTTATGACACTGAGTGGTACACCGCAGTTGATCAGCTGGATTTGCGTGTCCTCCAGTTGGCTCTTCCTATTAGCATGCTGACCACGGTCTTGGCCCTCCTTCTCTGTTTAATTGGCATGTGTAACACGGCCTTCTTGTCCACCGTGCCCAACATCAAGCAGGTCAGATGTCTCATCAACAGTGCAGGCTGCCATCTTGTGGCTGGCCTCTTCTTTCTTCTTGCATGTGTCATTTGCCTGATACCATCAGTCTGGGTCATCTTCCATAATCGAGAGCTGAACCAAAAATATGAGCCTGTTTTCACCTTTGACATTTCTGTATACATTGCTATTGCCAGTGCAGGTGGCTTACTATTTACAGCCATTCTCTTATGCCTCTGGTACTGCGCATGCAAGACGCTACCTTCCCCTTTCTGGCAGCCTCTGTATTCGCATGCCCCTAGCGTGCACAGCTATGCTTCCCAACCATATTCTGCACGATCACGGCACTCTGCCATTGAAATTGACATCCCTGTGGTTACACGTACTTCTTAAAGAATGGGTTGAGAAAGCCAAACACTCCTTTGCATATTCTACCTTTATTCCAGCGTTTGCTGGAATAAATCAAGTGCTTTCCAACAGCTTATCAACTTCTACAACCATAGCAAGGGTGTGTAGTTTGGTGACTTTTATTTTCATTACCTAGATTGACAAGAAATAGGAATGAGCAGGCTGAAATACTAGTCTTAGGAGCAACTGCAAATTTTTGAGGGCCTCTGAAACCAGCAGTCTTTGTAAGTTTATAAGTAACTTAAACTTTAGTATCCTTTGACTTGTACAGATCTCAAGTTTCTTCCATAAAATATACTACTGAAAAATACTATTTGCTGGTGTTTGTAATCCAGCATGTGACACATTTAAGGTTTGAGTAGTTCTCATCAGTCTAGTATTTCCTCTAATTTGAAAGAAATGTATTTTAACTCTTTTCTTCACTGATAGCCATTTCTTATTTTTCCAAATAAATTTATATTGTGTGAAGCTGTACAGTAATAGTCTGACATTCAGTATGTGAAGTAATAGTTAATGTACACATTCAGTCCTGTGCCTATTGTGTTTCATTACGCACATACAAAAGATATTTGCGTGTTAACATTTTTTTCATGATTGATCCTTGGTTCCTGTGAAGATTGCCAGTTTAAAAGAAGCATAATAATAATTAGCAGGAGTATAACTACACTGCCTAAGAAACGTTTTGTTTTGTGGAAAAAAAAAACTTTTTTTTTCAACATAGGAAGTTATGCAAAAGAACATATGTGTAGTATAACATCAATATCAGAATAGTCTCAGGATTGATAATGGAGGCAAAGTCAAAAGTGTAGATCAGTTGGACTGCTATTGTACGTAGGCTCATGCTTCCATGGGATATCTCTCTGTACTGAATATTTTTATAACTGATGTGGGTTTTTTGTTTTATACTTAAAATCATAAGTATCCTAAATATTTGTTAACTTAGAAGAAAATCTGCCTACTTTTACTCTACTGAAAAATGCCTGATTTTAGATTTTTTAAAAACTTATTTAGGATTACATTTATGGGTTACCTTTTTATAAATGGATTCCTGAAAGCCATATTCCAAATAAACTATAATGAGGATAGAATATTTTTATATAATATTACAGTATTACAGTTGAGATTACCTTCAAAAACATTTGCTGTATTGTAACATGCATGTAGGTTTGGTTTGTAGATCTCCAGCCTCACTCTGTTTTTTGATGCATGAGATTTTGTGGTTTCAGAAGGTACATTTTTTCATTTTCTGATATTTACTGCTTTCTGAGTAACTGGTCAGCAGTTTGGAGCATGCCATCTGATCTCTTTTTTAAAGCAAATAAGAATTTACAAGAGCTTTTAAACATATTCTGGAAATTGAGCCAATTTGATAAAAATAACATCTGTTCTTCTGAATTTATTGAATTTATATATTCTTAAGTAACAGGAAGTTAAAAAATGTACATGATTAAAAAACATTCATTGTAGGTGGAATTTTTATACCTTTCTTAACTGGCTTCTAAAAATATTACTTTTTCATTTGCTTTAAGCAGCAGAAATACTAAAATATGACTGAAGAAAGCACAGTCTTGTTTACGATAACCTATTTCTTTAGACAACATTATTGGAAATTGTTCTATACTGATGTATGTTCTGCATTTACCATTCCAATTATATGCACAACAGCCTGAGCCACTGAGAACTTTTAGCTTTGTTTTGATTAATTTCTCAGAAACATGAATATGTGAAAATCTTAACAGTGATATTTGTGTTGTTTACAAGTAAAAATGGAATATTAGGAGGGATTTGTATTTGCACTTAAATGAAATTCACAAATGTGAAATGCATACAATTTGCTTCAAATAGCTGCAGTTCATGAGAATGATGTATAAAAAACATCCTCAAAATGCAAGGCAGGTTTTCAGTTATATGTACTGTTACTGACAAAGAAATAACAGTGCTTCTCCTTCAGTTCTCCCACTTAGGAAGTAAGTTTCTGTTAACTTTTTGGGTATTTGGAAACCTTATGAAACTACAATAGCAGCATTCTGATAATGTCCTCTTCTGATGTTCCAATTCTCATCTTACCATTGAGTTGGACAAGGAGTGAGAAGGTCCAGATTCTAGTCTACTCTCAGTCAGAGAAGCTCAATGAGTGACTTTGAGCCAGTTGCTCTTTCTCAGCCCATCCTACCTCACAGGGTTGTTGTTGCAGGGAAAAATGGAAGGAAGTCCTATGGGTTCTACTTTGGGCTCCTTTATGAAAAGCAAACAATACATCAGTTACATCATATAATATAAACAATGGAGCTGATATACTTAGCTTAGAGGTTCCATTTGATACTTCGTTAAGTATATTCTGAATTGATTGAGATAGCATGGATGCAGCCATATTCCCAATGGAACTGTTTCCCAAAACAAACACCCCACTGTGTATCCCATGCTGTTAGCTCAAGCTCTTTGAAAGAAATTAAAATGATGCAGGAGGGCTGCTTTTGGGAGAGGGTGAATTTTACTGTAGACAATGGAGGATAGCGCTTTGTATTGTCACCAGTGCTTTTAATATCTGAAGAGGAGGGATAAAAGACCACTTTCAAGGATTGCTGTGTTTCAGTTAGTTTGGTCATGATTAAAGAGATTAAAGCCGTCTTATGGGTTGTAACTCGAAGTGTTGGGAGTCTGAAAATACTAACTTTTCTGGTGTAGGCTTTCATGGCTGGTATATGTTGGGCAGTGTTGAGTTTCAGGGTTTAGTGACCGTGGCCCAGACAACAGATTTCCTGGTGTTTCACCAGCAACTCTGGCTGGCATCTTCAGAGGCAAGGTGGTCTGCCATGCAGACCACAGGCAACTGAACAGGGACTGACTGGGCTCCTGTTTTTATAGCTGTAAAGTTAAAAAGCTATATATAGCTATAAAGATTATAGCTTTATAGTGACCTGACTGACTATAAAGACAGGAACCCAGTCAGTCCTTGCTCAGTTGCCTGTCATCTGTGTAGTACACCAAACCCTGAAGCTCAACACTGCCGAACTTGCTTTTCTGTTTTGTGTTAGGAGTACCAGGCCTCTACCTTTAAGCAAAGTGAGAAAGTTACCCCAGCAGTGTGTGCTGTTAAGTGGCATCAGAGTACTAGAAACAGCTGTGTGCCAGCTGTCCCCTCCCCCTAGCTAACCGCCTTAAGGTGGATGGATAGTATCCCTCACTGGTGCTGAAGAAAAATTGAACTGCTTGTCTAGTTGGATTTTGTACATTTCCTTAATGAAATATTTATTTCTCATAAATGGACTTTTCAACAGTGCTGATTCTGCTTGTGCATGCAGAAGCTATTGTGATTTAGATTTAACACTAAGCCCTTTTTTAATTAATATTTTACCTTGTCTGGCATGGTCTAAATAGAGTAATTTGTCAAATACAAAATTGTGGATGTGAATCCCACCATTCATTTTGGAACAAAATTTCTCCATCTTCCATTGCATGGAAATGTATTTCATCAGAGTTGCCTACTGTAAAGAAATCTGGTTTTGACATTTAATAATTCGTTACAGCATATGTTTTTATGTAAAATGTGTATTTTTAATTAAAAAAAATAAAACATTTTGTAATGGGTGATCAGACCGCTTTTGACATATAGAAAAGTCTTCATTGTTACAGTACAAATTACTGCTAAGGTGAAAGACACACAACTCACACTATGGCTTAGTGCAACACTCACTCTGCTCTGTTTAACTCCTCTTCCCAAATTAGACCCTCCCAATTAGCATTCTAGGTTTCCTAGTGTTACAGATT